AGTTTTTACAAGACCTACTGAATGAGATTAGTTTTTCTCAGAATAAAATAACTCAGAGGCATGCACCATTTGTTGGTGACCCAAAACCTGCATTCACAAAAAAGGCTATCAACTGAAGAATTATTAAAAACACTCTACAAACACAAACGAGTATTTTGTAGATAAAATTAATGTAGACAGCAGTGATACAAAGAAATAACATGTAACAAATGTTCAATTCAAATAAACACTATGCAGAACTATATTTTCAGAAAGATGCCAGATCACCTCTACTTTTAAAACTCTCCTTGATAACAAAGACTATCTCTGAACAGTAAAGATTTGCCATAATTTTACTCAGTGCACAAGTACATACATAAAGATCCTTTTTAAAATGTATGCATAAAATAACTATTATAAAATATAAAGAATATTTTTCTCTCATCTTAGCTATAAAATACTACCCTAGTAAATGTTTACTTCTTGACTGAAAAGTAATTATCCCAGTGATTTCTCTACAATGCCAAACGTTAACATGTTAATTACATACAACTTCATAGCATCAACACATTTCAGAGCTTGGTTTCTAATCACAGTTTCAGCACTCAGTTGCTATGTAATTTTGGGTAAGTCGCTTTCCAAATAAGTGATTACTTACCTAAAGTCACTCTCTGTCTCTATTGAAATGAAATAGGATTATCTGACTTCCCATTTTACAAGGTTGGAATAAGAATCCAAAGAGAAAGAACAGAAAAAATACTTTGAAAACCGTTAAGGTTATGGCGAACATATAAATCAAGAAAATAAGCCAATTTTGGGGGGAATATATATATAAAAATATGAACTTTAAATTATTCCTTTATAAGGACTCAATCTTACTATTATGGAATTGCTTAAAAGATTTCTCTAAAATAGAATTAAACTAATGCAGAACTTGCTAATTAGAAACAGTTTTTGAAGTGTTAAGTGTTGAACATTTACTGTAATCACTAGGTGACTTTAAGGGATAAAGAAAAGGTATTTTTCCTATTCTCATGAGATCTATATGGCCCAGAGGAGTGGAAGAGACGTGAAAAGTTAAATGAAACACTCAAACACTTTAGTATAAAAATAGAAGGCATCTCATTAGCAGTAATTGATTAACAGCTAAAAGAAAGTACCATAGTGACTGCTTTGAAAGTTAAGATGATTACCTTAGCTTTATCCTTTATTCACGTGTACTTCACTTATGTTCAGGTTCATCATTCAAACAAAATACCTTCAATTCTATCCTATACTGTTACCCCTTTCCTTGACTTGTCCCAACAGCTCTCTATCCCTAGCCAGAGTACCCAGTCAACCTTCTCAGATACTGTAATTCTAGGCATATACATTCCCCAAGTTCCCAGTATTCAATAAGCCTTAGGATCCAAGATGAGTCAATTTTCTAACTTTTGATTATGCTGTAACCCTTCGCGTCATCAAACAATAATCACATGGAGTCTGTCAAGGCAATGTGACTACTAAAAATGTCAGTAAGAGCCCATATTCCACTTCTCTCAATCGCTACAGCCAGACACTTGAGTAAAGAGCAGTGTAGAGTCGTGAATAACACGACATAACATTATTTCAAAGTCATCTGAAAATAAGCATGCATTCATAATCCATCTGTTACTAAGTCTTAATCTCCTTCCATCTAGTCAAATCAACAGTTAATAGTGTAAGACCCCCATTAGGTAAGAGAGGAAAAAGAAAGCAGAAAATCTACAAGAGTTATTTAACATCTCTAGAGCTATTACAATTAAATGGAGATGTTTCTTTACTCTAACTCCTGCCATTTTTAAGTATTGTCAGAAGCCCACCATTCTCTAAGAATGCTTTCTTAAAACATAATCTAACCATTATCTTGGTAATTTGCGACTTCGTTCTAGGAAGAAACAGTAGGGTAAAAAAGAAAAAAGAAAAAACCAAGAAAATCTCAAAGGCTCAAATAAGTTTGAAAACCACAACCTTGAACTATATATTGAAGAACAACTTTAGCAGTATTACAGAGTAGAGCATCCCCAGCATTACAGATGTGCCAGAATACTGATACTCATCCCCAATGTTTTACTTCATCCACCGTAGTGTGTGATTCAAAAATTATTTTCTATGTGTACCACATGAGAAAAGGTTGGGAATACATTAAAGGAGTTAAAACCTCAACTTCAAAATAGTCTCCAGTGAAAAAGCCGAAGTCTACCCTTACTTGATGTTGATTCTGAAGACTATTTCCTTTTTATCAAGTAATCAAATCCTATATTTCTATAATCTGTATGTTTTTAAAATAGTTCTTCTTACAGCTTAAGTAATCTTCTCAGCAGCAATAATATCCTGGCGTAAGATAAAGAAATCTGAAAAATTTTAGGTAAGGACGTGGTCAGAGCAGCATTTGTGTGTAGTATACTTTTTCCTAAGCACGCTAACTGAAATCCCAAAAATATCCATCTCGTAACTCCCTTCCATGCTTTCTCTTCGTAGTATTATCACCTTCTAATATAATATGCAATTAACTTAAGTATTTGGTTCTTATCTGTCTCTCCCAACTAGACTATTACATCCATGAGAGCAGAAATCCTGTCTGCTTTTGTTCACTGCTCTATCTCCAGCACCCTGATCAGTACCAGACGCAGTGGGCCCTTGAAAAATAATTTATGAGTGAATAAACAAATTCCGTAATTTGGTTGCAGTTTTATATGTAGTTCAGTTGTTTTGAAGAGTTCAATTTTGCTATTAAGGGGTACCTGGCTGGCTCAGTTGGTAGAGCATGCAACTCCTGATCTTGGAGTTGTGAGTTCGAGCCCCACACTGGTTGAAGAGATTACTTTAAAAAAATAAAAATCTTTAAAACAAAATTTTGCTATTAAGATGGTCAGGAAAAAATTTTGTTCACCAAAGACAGAATAACCACAAAGTAAGTAGTGTTTCAAAGAGCTTGATTTATCTACATTAAAATTATTTTTCAGGATTCTACCAGAAAACCTGTATCAGATATTTCAAAAATACAAAAAGGAAAGATTTAGTTTTAATTAAAATAGGAAGCATCAGTTTTCCATTCCTCTAATCAGAAGACACAAAGGAATAAAGGGTGGTAAGACAGTCAGAGGTAATACTTGGGACACAGAAAAATGCAGTATTTCACTGGCAAGTACTTTTTTTTTTCCATTGCTTAAGTCGCCATGTAAAATTCAAGATTATCAACATAAGTTCTGTACTGACTCAGTTCTGTACTCAATTTTTTCATTTAAGTTCTTAAAAATGGAAATCTGCCTTTTTTCAGACCCTTGAAGTCTGAATCTAACCAGCCAATTAGTTATCCCTATAATTTTCTTGTCAAATATAATCACAAGTGTTGTGGATTTTAACCATAATTTTTAGTCTTAAATAGTTTTAATCTTAATACAAATAATCTTAGTTTTATACATCTACTATTCAACTACTGTTCCACAGTTCCTTTTTTGGGCTCAAATGACGGAACTTCTCTAACGTCTCTGGGGAGACCAGTGTAAACTATGTTTCCTCAAATTGTTTTTTCCCTGCACCGTTTTTGTGACATCCCTTCAAGTAGGAAAGTTAGACATTTTTCTATTCTGCAGGAAAGTCCAGAGGAAGAAGCAAAGGTAAAAAGAATATTGCATGGAAAATAGGTTGAAAGGGGACAGGCAACACAAAGGCACAGAAGTAAATGTGAAGCAAGTATGTGTGCAAAAGAGGAAGATGCAGAAAAGAGAAGAAAAACTGTTCTCGCCTAAAAATGAGAAAAAAAAAAAACGCAGGGTGGAGAGGATAGGAAGACTTGCTCATTCTTCTACAAACAAATGCACTAAATCCTTCTAAGAAAAACGTAGGTCTCTTTAAGATGTTGGTAAAACTCTAAAAAGCACTCAGCTGCCACTCCAAACAACAGTTCTACCTTCTCTTCCTATATATTCTCATTAGAGCTAAGTCTTCATCTGTAAAATTAAATGCAGGCTATAGATAATGCAGAGTCAATCTCTACAAAACTGCAGTTGTGGTTGCCATCTTTGCCTGAAAAAAAAAAAATCAAACTCCCTGGATTTGGAAAAAAGAAGTATATTAAGTTGGAAAGCCAGAAAAACATGAACTGCTAAGTCAGGTAGATATGACACGGGTTAATAAACGCCTCCTACCAAACTAAGATTCCACTAAAGATCTAGGGAAGAAGGGCAAAGGGCTGTAGCCTTACCGCGACCACAAGGGTGGGGCACCGTAGGAAAAAAAATTTTTTTGAGGGCGAGCTATCCCGGAGGTATAAGGGGGCTGGTGACTCAGATCTCGGGAAGATGGCACATTAGGCGGCAAATGATGTTGATGGGCCATGGGCAGCTTCGGGAAGAGCGACAAAGTGAGCTGCCAAACTAATGTTCGTGGAGAATGCGAAGACTAAGAGAGAAAGGTACCCACGGGGCAAAGGATTAAGAGTCAAAGAGAAGAGAGCCGAGAGGCCGAGCAGTCAGGGAAGCTGGGCGTGGGAGGCCTGAGCAGAGGCCGCGAAGAGCTTTTGCAGCCAGCCGCCCTCTCTCGGAACGCCTTTTCAGCTCCCCCCCACTCAGCCCCTCTCAGGGCCGCCCGTGCCCCAGCGACAACGGCGAGAGCAGCTGTTTCCGCCCGGCCGCGGACAGCGGAGAAGACATCCCTGCGGCGGGCGGGCAGGCCAGCGTCTATTAAGCAAGAGGGGATTCCGAGACCACTGCCGCCGAGCCAACGCCAAACTTCGCCCCTTCCTCCTCTTAGCCTTCTTTATCCCCCAACTTCCCGGCCGGCTGGTGTCCGCTTCGACCGACCGAGGACCCCCCTCCCCCGCCCTTCTTCTCGCCACCTCTCACCCCTCCCCAACGTCCTGAAGCTGGGAAAGGACTGGCCACCAGGGCCGCTCCCGAGCCCGTCCGGGTGCCCCAGAGTCCCACACGCCGCCCCCAACAAAACGCTTGCGTCCTCTCGGCGGCTCCCTCGCCCGCCCAGATGCTGCAAACTCCTCTCACCTGCATTGACGCCATGATGGAACCATCCCCCCAAGGCCGGCGAGGCCAGAGACGCAGGGGGCGGAGCTGCCGTGCTCGCGTCACGCCGCGGGGGCCCAGCATCCTGGGCGCCGGGGGCGGGGCCTCCGGTGGGAAGGGGACGGCGGGAGGGGATTGGCTGGCGCGCCGGGCCTTCGGGGGGGAGGGGCGGGCGGGAGCGCGGTCAATGGCGTTGTTGGTACCCTCAGACACATCCGATTCTCCGGCGTCCGCGGCTACCTCACCCAGCTACTCCGGTCGCCTAAGAAACGCCGCTCCTGGTCTGACCTGGCCACGGTTGTCGTTTTTTTTCTCTGCATACCCTAAGATCTTGATGATCTCCAGTCCCGTGGGTTTTCTTTTTGTTTTGTTTTTCCAACCACAGGTGTATGGTTTGAAGATTTTTTTCCCTTTCGGATGTCTTCTCCACACCACCATGCCCACTTTCACACTCTCCGGGCGGGATATCACTTTCTGTGGGGCTGCTTTCTGGTCTTTACGGTCTGGAAGGCTTCTCATATTCCTAATTTGGGACAGAAAAACACAGATTTCTTTGTACAATGAGATGAGGATTGAGAGCAAAATAATACATTGATATTTTAAAGGCAAAGGTAGATTTGTAGAGCTGAAACTTATCTGAAAGGGAAGAGAAATGTTTGAAGTTTTTCTTTCGTTCATATACTGTTGTCTCCCCTTTACCGCAACCCGTCAGTTTTAAACTTCACGTGTGTCAGTAGTAGTTATGGTTGTTATGGCATTCACATTTGTTTAGAGATTTGACCCTAGACGTGATTTTTTTTTTTTTAATGTAACAGTGCACCTCGTAGTATACACTTAACACCTTCTATCACATCTGGACTTCTCTTCAGCCTGTTTCATAGTGGGCAGTTTTGTGGTCGTTCGACCTAGGGAAGTATTTGAATAGGGAAAGCTGAGCATTCAGAATTTATTCTGGGAATGCACCAGTTCTGCCAACATTTATCAGAAGCCACATTTTAAAAAGCTATCCCAAAACTGAAGATATCATTGGTTAAGAGGTAAATGGAAGCCAGACTTGCACCTCGTGTTCATGTTCTTTTTTTTTTTAAGATTTTATTATTTATTTGAGAGAGAGAATGAAATAGAGGGAGCATGAAAGGGGGAAGGGTCAGAGGGAGAAGCAGACTCCCTGCTCAGCGGGGAGCCCAATGAGGGACTCGATCCCGGGACTCCAGGATCATGACCTGAGCCTAAGGCAGTCGCTTAACCAACCGAGCCACCCAGGCACCCCCTTGTGTTCTTGTTCTATCTTTTAAAGATTTAAAAGTCTGATACATTGAGTAGAAGGCTTTTACTTTAGCAGAACAAAAGCTTAAAATCTGTCATTTTATTAACTTGGAGCTCTTTTTAGAAATTTCTGTAAGATTTAAACATAAGAGCAATGTAGGATATCATCCTTCCCACTCAAAGGTAGCTCATTATGGGGGCCCCTGGGTGGCTCAGTCAATTAAGTGCCTGACTTCAGTTCGGGTCACGATCCAGGGGCCTGGGATTGAGCTCCACATGGGGCTCCCTGCTCAGTGGAGAGTCTGCTTCTCCCTTTCTCTCTCCCTCTGCCTCTCCCCTGTTCATGCTGGCTCTCTCTCAAATAAATAAATAAAATCTTTAAAAAAAAAAAGATCATTATGTTCTCTGGGAAATTCCCTAATGTAAAATGTGTTCAAAAAGGAAAAAGATCTTTAAAATACACCAGTTATCCTATAGTATAATATTAAACCAACTATTATTATAGAGAGGAAGTTATATTGGTTTGCTTTTTCTTCTTAGACTTCTACCCTATTGCCAGAAATGGGCTGGTTTTCCCTTTGTTGTGCAAAATTATGATGTCCTTGAGGAATGTTTGGATGCTCTTAGCAACCAGGAATCATCCGGAAGCATATCTGGTGTCAGCTCAGTTGTGTTGTCAACATTTCAACTGTGAGTAAAACCCACATATCCCAATGAAAGAGGAAAGCTTTTCCATATATATTTTCTTCCGGAAATCTTTATGCCTATGATCTCTGAAAATTGCTCCAGAAGATCAGGTTTTACCATCTAAAGTTCATTTTATTTAAAAGTTGATTCTTCTTAAGGTATAAGTGACATCAGATGACCCCACAAACAAAGCATTATGACATCATCAGAACCAACAACCTGCTATGTCATACTGATAAGAAAAGAAAGTTAACAGAATTCTTAATACTCCGCACAGCAAAACCAACATCTGGTCCCTTGGGCTTATGTGTGTTAAAAAGGACCTTGTTAAAAAGTCAAGTGTTTTAACTATACAGTGTTTGAAGACAAGGCTTACATATTTCTTTACAGTGTGGGGCTTACTATCACATAGGCGATAGGCAAAATGTCTGACAATACCAAAAGTGGGGTGAAGCTCTCTATAGGACCAAAATTGGACAATCACTTTGGAAAACAGTTCAAAAATAGTAAAATTAAAATTTCCCATACCCTTAAAAAATCTTTTTAATAGCACCATTTGCAATAAAATACACTTAAGAGACATATTAAGCCAACGCAGTCATGTTAACTTTGGATCCTGATTCAAACCAACTGTAAAGAAGATATTTTTGAGACAACTGGAGAAATTTAAATATAAAATGCATATTAGATGATATTAGGGGATAATTATTATTTTTGTTAGATTTGATGATTTTTTGATTTCCACATCAATGACAAATGGCCATCATGTTCAAGGAAATGACTCTCCCTCATCTCACAAACTACCCCCTCCTCCTCCACCTCCGTGGGGGACAAAAAAAAAAAAAAAAGAGGGCATACACAAGCTATTTATGTGCCTGAGGTGGTCCCCACCAATGCAAAAGTAGAGCCTATGACACAGAGGACTAAAAGCAGCGAGACTTTCTGGGAGAAAAGGGGAGGAAATATGGGAAACCAGAGTCTAGTAACTTGAAGAACTCACAAAGTGATCACTGGGCAAATGCCACAATATTGATAATATAATGTGATTTATGAATGTTTGAGTTCTAGTGATTCACTAGACTGGAGAATTAGGAGCTATCCTATGAGAATCCTCTTGCCAGAGTGTGAAGAGGCAGAGTTGAGGAGTCTTTGCTTGAGTCTATGTCTCCACAGATGGTTTGTTCATAGTCTCCTACTGGCTGATCTCATCAGAGAAGTGTAGGCAGTTCAGTAACCATTAGCTTGTTAACGGTATGTTGGAAAAGGCACCAAGCTAAGAAGTCAATGCTTGTAGTCTTGTTCTAGCTCTTTCATTAATAAGCTTGGTCAGGGCTCTTAATCTCTCTGGGTTTATTTCTTTATCAACAAAATGAGCAAATCAGACTGCATAATCTTCAAGTTTTCTTCCAGATTTCAAATTCCATGTGCCTAGTAGAGATCATCAAAAATTTAAATGATATGTTCAAAATACTATCTTAAAAAGTCTAAGATAAAATGCAACGGGAATGGTGTACTATTTTGAATTTTAAAATCACATTTATAGATATACTAGGAATGAACTTGACTTCATTGTAATTTATGTAGACACACTGGGGGGTCTTAGTTAACAATTTTAAAATGCTAATGTAAGGCAGTTGAGCTATAGATGGGATTTAATGAAGTAGCAAAACTCCAGATTCGCAATTTAGAGTGGTACTTTAAGAAAAGCATAACCCAAACTAGTCATTTCATGTGAATCTCCTAATAAAGGACAAAGAAAATTAGCAAAATAACAAAGGGTTTATATGTGTGACCTAATCTGTGTGACTTATTCTACATGTCAAAAATAGTTGATTCACATACATATCTGGCTTGTAAATAAAATTGTGAATCAAGAGAACTTTGTCTTCACTTTCTTCCCTTTGCCTATCTCTCTAACAAATTATTTTCCCCAGGTCTGTACTCCTTGAGCACCGTCCTTGTTTGCTTCTCCCCTAAACCTCTTATCAAACATGTTCTAAGCAAGTTATTCTTTTTGTCCATGGACTCACTCCACAGAAAAATGTGCATATTCATGAAATTTTGTGTTTCAGGGAGGTACCTGACCCTCAGAATTTCATCCATCAGCAGAAGTGTATAAATCTCAAGATAAGAACACCTTTACTGAAGAGGTAACCGTCACTATAGGTACCAGCTCAATCTCTTGACCTTTCAAAACCTGTCTTTTATGTAGACATAATTTCATAGCTCTTGTTTTCTTTTATTCACTTATTTATTTTCCTGTCTTTCTGAAAAGCAGGGTGCTATGTGAAAAGCTCAGATTAGGAACCAGAGGAGTTAAATGCTTGTCTTGATCTTTCCAGGGGTGACACTAATGTTATTTAACAACAGATGTGGCACAAATGTAGCAAAGGTAGACCAGGAAGAACAGAAGCTGCTCAGTGTTGGGGGCAAGGGCCAGGATCCTCCTTGCCCTGTGGGCCAGATAATGTACTTTGATCATAGGGAGGTCTGGAGTGATTCAGAGAATTGAAAGGTGATTCTTTTGGGGATTTGAGGGAAGTGGCTATTTACTATTTACTATTTACACTATTGAAGTATTTCAGTGTTTTTTAGAACAGACATGTTCTAAAACTGGATTGTGGTGATGGTTACTCAACTGTATAAATTTACTCAAAATTATTGAGTAATTATTATGGGGGAAGCTTATGGTATATGAATTATACCCCAAAAAGCTATTTATTTATTTTTTTTATTTCTTAAGTGATCTCTGTGCCCAACATGGGGCTCAAACTCATGACCCCAAGATGAAGAGTCGCATGCTTTATGGACTGAGCCAGCCAGCCAACTCCCACCTCCCCAGTAAAGCTATTTTTAAAAAGGGAAACGCATTTCAAGATTTTAACACACCCATACCAGTATGTTTTGGCTAGTCTTTGGACTGGCTCTCCCATTAATGGTATGAGACTGAAGGCTAGTCAGGTATCTCCCTGCATCTGGATTTTTTCGTCTGTAAAATGGAGAGTCAATGATTTCTTCAAAGCTTTGCAGATAAGTTATTTTCCTTGTCAAAAATTCTATAATTGTTTCATCATAATTCATATTACCCTCTTTTGACCTGCTCATAGGCCTTCATTGCCCCAACAAATTGC